CCGTGGTGTCAAGTGACTCCCCCACGTTTAGGTCATAAAAGCAAATGTAGTGCCTATGGAGCTGCATTGCTTATATGACTTTCACTAGTCTGTCGGTAGAGCGTAACGCTCGAGAGTAAAGTGAGGGTCAAACTGATAACGCATCATAAGAAAGGAACAGTCTACAGACACTGTCTGAGACACTGTCCATACAAAAAAAAATGAGCAGTCCTGCGTGAATCTACAGCACAGACAGAGCGATAGCTGCTCCAAGTCACGCTGAAGTTGTCGGGCATCGGCGTCGCGTTCACGTGCCGTGGGGTACGTGAACAAGAGCGTTCGGAACAAAATAGATATCTAACTATTTTGTTCCAAACGCTTTTTTTTTTTTCAGGAGCTTCTGAAAACGCATCTCCCCGGCGAGTGCTTTTGGCATTGACGGTGCAACGACAGCGTTTTGTTTTTGGCTATTCATTTCTTACAGAGCGCGTGCAGTGGGTCTTGGGTAATAAAAAAGCTCTAAGTATGGAGCGGGTTGTTAAGGCTGTGGCGTAGCTCAGTGATAGAAACCTGAAATAAAGAAAGAGAGAGAGAAAAAAGAAGTAGCTCAGTTGTATTCCTTCGCTTCGCGCGGAGTGAACCCAGGTTTGATTCCCGCAAGTGGCGGGCGATCTTTTTCGAGGATTTGGCAAGATCGTCGAAGAACGCTCTAGAACACCAACTGGAACAACGAAAACTACGACATCAACACCGACAGTTACCACAACAACGTCAACGACGGACGTCCTTTCAAGCGGTGGGAACAGTCCTTAACCACAATCCCTGTAAAAACTGTCTCCTGAGAGACGTATGAAACAAGCGTGCTTCGAGCATGCTTTGAACCTTGAGGCATGTCCACAGATAATCCTGTCAACGAGTTTGTAGCGTACACCGTGTCTTTTGGTGTGATGTCCGAGCAGTGTGACTTCGACTTTACGTGTCGCTTTTCTCACCGAACCCAACCCCATAACAGATTCTGATTCAACCAAAATATTTTGAGTCGCTGGTGAACCACACTGTATATAATATATGAGGGCTACATACGTATATACAGGGTGTTCCCCCGAAAAATAGTTACAGGGTTTTCTTTAGCGCAAAAATAAACTATTCATTGCTGAACGCTCATTCTCCGCCCAAAGGTAGCACTAGAGGTCCAAACCAGATGCCAAAGTTTCAGCCCGATTCGATACCTTATCCAAAAGTTTTAAGTGATTTTGTGAAAACTACAATAGGAAAGTGCTGCAAAATTTTTGGCCGTTTTCGGTTTCTGGTGCCATAGAGCTCCATGTATTTGAGAACTCCGTCGGCCACCATTTCCCCATTGAAATTATCAGAAAAGCACTTATAAATTTTGAATAAGATATCGGTTCGGGCTAAAAACTTTGTCATCTGGTTGAGACCTCTAGCGCTGCCTTTGGATGGAAAGTAAGCACTCGGCGATGTGTAGTTTATTTAGGCAATAAAAAAAAACTAATTTTTTTTTTTTTTTTTTTTTGGGGGGGGGGGGGGGAGGGGGGGGCGGGGGGCAACATTTTGTATAATAAATTTCTGTACGGCTTTTATATAGTAGCCGTCACATTGAGAGTGCCGCTCGCAGGTCCGCTCCAGCAGCCCTGGCGAGCTTTCGACCGTGGTCGGCGGCTGGCTGCTCAAGCATGGACTGGACGGCATGCTGTTCTTCTACCGGTCGCACCGGTCCTGGACGCGGGCCGATGACACGTTTCGAGACTTCGCACGCAGGTTCCGGGAGGACCTCGGCCGGCTGGGACTCCTGGTCTCCGCCGTCGTCTCCGTGGACAGGGAAGACGTTAAGGGCTCCATCAACAAGTGAGAGAACGTTCACGCGCACCAAAAGTGTCCCGCCGATATGCACCCCTTTCCGGCGCTTGTTAAATGCTGAGTCACTAATGTGTGGACGCACACGCCACTTGTTACGAAAGAGAGCATACATTTTTTTCAGATGCAAATTTTGTTGTTAAACTTCTCTTCGTGTAACAAAGTCTTTAGACAGGAATACGTAATGATTAGCGTCCGATCACGCACGGGTCACGGCCGTATGAAGAAAAGCTTGGCTTCTGGGTGGTGCCATTCGCAGCGTTCGTACGAATGGCGCATGCCTTGCTTGCTTTCCGAAGCGAGGAATATGCGCCTGACGGGCTTTAAGGATCGCAAGCTGGGCTGTGCGATATCTTTAAGCAGAATTTTGGAAACAAATGGCTTGTGGCCGGTGCAATATTCCGTTTTCGCGTTTGTGGTGGGTTCTTTACACACTTTCCGAATCAACGAACAAGTGTGCGCTGGGCTGTGAGCCTGTGACTTTGTGAACTTCAGAATTCTGTATAAACATCTGTCCGCATCTGCTCACGCGTACTAATGTAGCGTAAACATTAAAAAAAGTGCACACTGTCAGCGTCTTACCAAAACGCTAACAATGCTTTCTTTTCGGCCTTCTGTAATCAACGTGTTTTTTTGCATTTATTTAAACATTTATTGTTTGTAAACACTGTGAGCGAGCGTTCCAATGTTTACAAATCCAGAGCGGAGCGTGCAATCTCCACAGCTCAACTCACGCGCGTTCGTGGCTTCAGTAATTGAGCTAGGCACGCGCCATACTTACGAACGCTGAAAACGTCCAAGGCCTACGGGCCTTTTTTTCTGCGGCATTTCAGAAGTAAAAAGCACTGCGCGAGTGCACGGGCGCCGATAGCGTTGGTTTATAGCCTTGGAAACTTGCGCCAAGCGAACGGCGTGTGGCACGCACCGTTTGCTTGACACTTAGCGCGGCCGAAATCGGTTTGCATAAGGACTGCGAGAATTCTTTGCCACCCAGAGAACGCGTTTGAGCAGTCTGAGCCGCTGTATGTCTGAAGTAGTGATGCCATGGTAACGCCAACGTTGCGCGAAACACCTCGCCGCCGCGCGCCTTCCTTTCACTTTCAAGAGGTGACCGCGGCCGACGCAGCGAGCAATACCAGAGTGACTCTATCCCGACTAGTTCAACGTGACCTTGAGCTCCGCGAATCGCAAGGCCAAACCGATAAGGCACATGCTCTCAGTGATGCAAGCCATCGAAGTGACGCTACAAGCCATCGGAGCGACTCCGCTTGATACATCTCGGCTATCACTGGTCCATCTTCTTTTATGTGTTTGTAAACTACACGGAATTACATTTCTCGACACGAGCGCCTGTCGAAAGATATGAGTGCGAAACAATCGCACGACACACGCAACTTCGTCATTGTCGTCGACTGCTTCACACGCCGGACAAGCGTGGAGAAAATAACGCGGTCGTGTGTAGCCATGTGACTTCCGGCCATGAGCTTCCGTGCTCATGTTTCGGTTGCGGTTTCAAGCAGCTGAGTTTTTCTTTTTTTGGCATTGTTAAAAAAATATACGTGACTCCAGCAAAATATAGATTGGGTGGTCTCCTGTCACAATATTAAATTGCCCGGCAACACAAAAAAAAAAAAAAAAAACGTTTCGGGGGTGTCAGTGTCCCTCTAAAGGGATACTTCAACGAAATTTCAAGTATACCCGTCGTCTTCAGAAACATACTGAATATGATCCACAATATCCGTAAATGCCAATCGCAGGTTTGTATTTTGAGCCTGGCGGCTGTATTTTTCGTTATAAACGGCCCACTCTGCCAAGCGCTCGGAGAATAGCCAGCGGAGAGCACGTGACATCCGGTGCAGTCGTGACGTAGATTCTCTCGGGACGAGCAAAGCTGCGGCGAGGCTGACGTCAACAGGATGTCTTAGCCGTTCCAGCCACTGAAGCGGCCGAAGCACACCAGCGATCGGACCACCGCAACTAACCCTGAGCTGCTTTAGTACGAATTTTGAGCGACGGATTAATCCCCTATAATCTTGTAGAGGGACAATCGCGACGTCTGGGACACACAAAAGAGAGTTTCGGTGAGAGGGGGGTTACTCTTTCCCCTCTTCTCTCGTAGTGGCCGGAGGCGAGACAGGCATCGTCATTGCCTGTCAAGGTTCCTAGACGGGCATTACAAGCGAGGCGTTAGCGACATCCACCAGGGGGTGTTTGCTAACCGTTTAATCCGTTTTGAAATCCCCTTTCGTGTCTTTTTTAGCAAGAGATTGGTGTGCCTGATGTGATACTGCTCCCTTGAACACAAATAGATAAAGAAATAAGCTCCGAAATTTTGTTGTAGTGTCCTTTTAAAGACACTAGGCTACAGCACTGGATAAATTTCTTCTCAACAGGAGGTGCTCATTGGGGCTCACTAACTTACGATGTCTTAGCATACATGGGACGCAATTACTTTTACGCTTAGTAGTTGCTTTTTTGGATCTAAAAAGCCTTTACTTGTTTCTCTTATAGAATCTGACCCTGCGAAGTCGCTTTTCGTAGATTCCGATGATAATTAAATTATTACTGGATAGCGCGCTCTGTCTCTGTCTTCTCTCTTGTCCGTGTCTCGTTGGACTTTTTAAATATTATGAATCACGAACTGGCCCAACTTTCCACCTTTGTTACCCGGACCGAGCGTGCACTGCCTAACATTCCCAGTAAAATATATATATATATATATATACTGCTGGTCCTTTGGGCTTTTTGATGGTCCAGAGTTTTTTGAAGGTTTATCAGACTTTCTTGATGGTTCACCAGGTTTTCTTGATGGTCTACAAAATTTTCTGATGGCACATCAGACCTACTAAATGGACCATGAGACCTTTTTGGTGTCCCATAAAACCCTCTTGGTGCACCGTCAAATCTTCTTGGTGGCCGATCAGACCTTCTTGATGACTTATGAGACCACCTTCAAGAACCGTTAGACCTTCTTGATGGCCCATTATACCTTCTTCAAAGCCCATCAGATCTTGATGGCACATCAGACCTTAGTGACCTACGATACCTTCTTGATGGCCCATGACATCTTCTCGATGACCCATCAGACCTTCTTTGCGACCTATCACACAGCGGGAACTACGCGCGCTTCTATGCGCAGCATGCTGACTATCTTCCCAACGGGTCCCCTGGTGCTGCGAACCCACGACGCGAGTCCCCAGCCCCAAGACGAGGCGCTGTGCCCGATGCCCTTCTCCCGAGGTGTGCACCAGGGGAGCGTGTCCCGACTCCTGGCCGACGTAAACGCTTCCGTGGGCGACTTCGACCGACTCGTGGCACCCAGGCTCATGTTCAGCGTCACCTTCGCTACCTCCAGCTACTTGCTCGAGGATGCCAATCTACCCCAGGTAGCGAGGTTCACTCTGTGGCGAGGTGACTTCTGTCAAACGGCCAAAACCGTAACGTCTGTTTATTGAAACGTCGAATTTCGAAAGGCGGCGAGGCATCATAATGTTGAGAAGTTGGAACGCCGAAGTGGAATAAGTTTTGTTACCATCTGTGAGTGGCAGCGCCAGGCAGACTGTTTGTTCAAATTTTTCCAGAAACCTAAGCTGACAAAATTTACACACGAAACATTCATGCACCACCTAAAGATACCTTCGTCAAACGTTTTATTAAACTACGTTTATTGTCTTATTTATTCAGCTTTTTGCGACTGAATAGCGCTCGGAAGCAACCTAGATAGGTATGCAGCTTTAAAAGTTCCTCCCCCCCCCCCAAAAAAAAAAAGAAGAGATACACTCGCGTTATAATTTTGTAAAACATATTCAAACATCATAAACCTTCTTAGAAAAACAACAAAAAAACTTCTTTTTACCAAAAGTCACGGTCGGCAGTGATCTGACTGATGGCTACCATCCGTGACGTCATGATAGGATTTGCCCAACGTTCCTGGATTAGCTCAGTTAAAGGCCGACGACCAGTCCGCACTTTCCACTTTTCCCTCGCTTCCTCCTCTCCCCATTATACCCTGTCCACCGTTGCCTGTTTCCTCCTCCCCCATGGTGAGGAGGATCTTCTGCTTTGCAGAATCTCGAGTCTGGTCGTCGGCCTTTAAGAACTCTTTGTAAACACTGCTTGCACGAGCAGTACCACCCCCCCCCCCCCCTCTCGCCCCACGGCTCGATGGTAACTGCAATGTATTCTATGTATTCTATACCCTTCTAATATGAATGTTTTGAAGCGCAGCGTCTAGATGGCGTTTCACCGTACTCCACGGAACACAGTTTTAGAACGAAAATGTAGATGGCGCTTTGAATGAAACGATGGGAGGCAAAACGAAGGGAGTGGGGTGCGGGGGCTAATCAAATAACATGGGATTTGCACCGCCGTGACGTCACGGGTGGTGATCCTGGCTTCTTATCATTTACAAGAGACAAATTTAAGCTGTAAGTCAGAAGCGCAGTGGAAGCTTGTATTCATAGCGCTTTAACCAACACCGCCAAAATTGTCAGTCCAATATTCCTCTTCGCCTCAATGAAAGCAGAATTAATATCACTTGAGATGCTATAGCGAGCGCTTGGCCAACCGTGAAAAGCCGACCACAGCGACATGCTTGGTTGCGCAAGTCGTCAATACACGATTGCAAGCGGGGCGGCTGCAAGCTGTTTCCACGTCTTTTCTGCGGGAAAGCCCATGCAATATACACCTTTTTAAGGGCGCCGCAAACTTAAGAATTGCGGCGTCGACGGCATGAAACACCGGTTGATTGTGACAGAAAACTGTCTGTGTAGGCATCGGTGTGGGTAGGGGGAACTTGGCTATCCCTGGCTATGGTGGGGTACAATAACTTGGCTGGAACTTGGCAAGTTTAGATAAGGTGGCCAATGAGAGGCCATCGCAAAGCCTCCTTGAAAGAACGAGGACGAAGGCGGTTGGGTGTTTTGATTGAGTTTCCACGAATAAGGAATATATGAGCAGTTTAGTGTAGTCTAAGCAGGTAAGCTCTCGGCTGCTCGAAGCTGCATCTTGAGTGGTAGCACCTAGACGTTTTCATACTTTCCACATGTCATGTGGCATGTGGAAAGTAATAGCGTACCTTGCAGGGATGACCTAATCGGAGCACCGGCACCGGGTTGAAATCGATTCGCCTGCCTAAGACCAACGTTACTAGATTACGTCGGTTGTGGAGCTCCCGGGATGGGGGAACCCCCTCATTCACTTTATCCCGGATCCCGTCGTTCGAATCGTCACCTAGAAAGCCAGGACAAAATGAACATTTTGTACTGGCTCAAGGCTTATGCGTCCAATCACGTGCCGGATTCACGCAAAGGTAAATTTAGTATCTTCGGACCGGTACGTGTTTCAACCTCAAGCACAAATACTGCGGCAGCTAGAACCGCTCCATGCCCGTCATGTGCTGCGCAGGAAGGTTCTCCGGCACTGCGACTGAATGGCGAAGAGGCGACGTACGCAGACGTGTGCGAGCAGGCCCTCAAGCTGGGCTACGGGCACTTCATGTCCCCGCGGGGCGACTGCATGGTGGTCCACAAGGAGCGGCTCTGGCACTCGGGCTTCGGGCCCACCTCCACCAGAATCTTCGGCCCCACGGCGCGCTTCGCCGGGGCCGTGGTCTTCGCGATGCACGGCGACGACCGGACGGGACGCTGCGGGGGCCACCCGCACACACTGCTCGTCCACGTCGCCAGTGCGCTCCGCCGTACACAGTGAAGGCCAGCTGGTTGCACCGGGGCCGCAGTGCTGGAGTTTCTACGTCACGTACCGGAGTCCAAAATTATAGAATGCGCCAGAAGCCTCGCCTTCAGAGTGAGCTTTCTATAACTGTCGAGACCGATTATAAGGAAGTCAACGGAAATCGGAAATCTCTTCGCTATATCCGCTATTTCGTTATAATCGATTTCGGTTATAACGAAGCGCAAAAGGGAACGGGAAATTGTGATCGCTTCGCTGTAGCCGCTATTTCGTTATAACCGGTCTCGACTATTCCGTTTCACTTTAAGTCCGACCCGAAGCGAACGCTTTGATACGATGGGGGCCGATCAAGAAGCACTGAAACTGCTTCGTCATGGCGTTTGTTTATCTTTGTGGATTTGCTTTTACCAGCTAAAGAGATCACGGAGATAAAAAGCGCGAGATCGCGGTAGATTCCCCGTTCGTGATTGAATTAGTAGGTGATAGGAAACGCATAAAAACAATCCGAACCGTGACGGTGCACTTTTGGCACTGCTTGATCGGCTCCGTCGGATTGACTGCGGTCGTACTTCAAGAGAAACGGAGTATGGCTTGGTAGCAGACTTGCACGGTACTCTTCAGATGTAATCAAATTACTAGTAATTGATTACTTGTTAAAATAATTTTTGTAATTATTTAAATACATATATTAGGAAGTAATCACGAGAGTAGTATGATTACTTTTGGAAGTACTAAAATTACTCATGAACTGTTATAATTTTTCTCTCACTTTCATAATGGCACCCTTTGTTTGTAAAAATACTTTCCTACAAAACAATCCTCGAACCAAGTCTTCGACAGGAGGGTGGTTTACCAAAAGTGATTGACTTAAAAAATGGGCGGTTTATAGTTAGGTGATTATAATCCAATAATGGACAGAACGGAAGAACCGCTTTCAAACGGGCAGAAAAATCTGTCGTTTTCAACATTTGAAGTAATGCGAAAAGCAACGGTTGTTTCATTAAGTAACGATCAACTCCTATATCTTTCGAGTAATGGAGTAATCTAATTAATACAATTTAACCAAGAGTAACTGACTTTGTAATCGATACCTTTTTTTTTTTTTTTTTTTTCTAGAATTGTGTGCAAAACAGCTTGGGAGTTACTTTAAGGTCTCGTGAGCACGAGCTGTCAAAATGCGACGGAAGGTGCACGCTGGAGGCGGAGCTTCCGGTGCAACGTTAACATCTATCTAGATGTCATCAGCGTGCACACAAGTGCTGCGTCACCGTCCGGCTGGGAGTCGTGTACTCACTGACTGAACACGAGTCTTAGCTGGACGCTGACGCGGCACTAGTGTCCCATCTCTAGCCCGGTCTCCGACGAGTGACTTGGAAAGTCCAGCACTATGGCCATCTAGAGCAGAATCTGCCGCAGCTGAAGCGGGGCGGCGTGGCGGCCTTCATGGATGTGTTCGGTGGCTGAGTTTAGATGTTGCCTTAGTCTTGATTCACGAGATACTTAAGTCGACGCTTCGATTCGTTACCGTGGTTGGATGGCATCGTTGCAGTTCTGAAGCGTCATCTGTGAATGTTTATCGATGCGTACGAGCGAACTTAGAATGTTTCTCAATTGTATTATTACTAAGAATTACACGCTTTATACTAATTGCCAGCTTCGAGTGTGACTTTCTTTGTGGCATGGCCGCCGTTGTCCCTGCAGCTGTTGTTTCCTTAGTTGTTTATCTTCGGCCCAGGCTTCAAGGAACCGCGAAACGATACTTGGCTTCAGCTTTGGTCCGAGCGCGGCCGATGTTATGAGCCGAAGCCCCAATCAAACAGTGAAATAGGCACAACGTCATGGCCTGCTTTCTGCAGTTGATAGGACTAGCTGGTATTCGCCGTCTCGCTGTGCGTGCTCCTCCGCCAGCTAGTCCTATCAAGCGCAGAGAACACGCCATGACGTTGCGCTTTTTCCGCTGTTTGATTGGCCCTTCGGCTCATAACATCGGCCTCTCTCGGACCTAAGCTGAAACGAAGTTATAGTTTTACAAACTGTATATCGCCTAGCGGGGCAAAGGAAAACTTCACACGTGTCTAGGCAGCCACAAACGCAATTTTCGCGCTGAAAAAATTTCAAAATATAAGCAGTCTAGTTTTTTTTCCCTTCTTTTCTTTGGAAAGCTATCTGCCTTTTCACAACAATACATCCGCAGTTCTCAACGAAATCAGCCGAATCCAGCTCTCAAATTGGATATGAGCACTGATATGTGCACTTGTCCATCATGACGTCGAGATTACGGGCTCCATTTTTTGCTTGTCCGCGAATCTCGCTCCCAATGTTTAGCCGCCGTGTGAATATACCTTTAAAGGAGTTATGAAACTATGTCAAGTTGGAATGCCCATGACTTTGCAGAGACGCACTGGTCCTACTCTGGCCCAAGTATTACTCGCAGAGACCGCCGCTGATTCAGAAGCTTCTTTGTCGCGGTGGAATTGCGAAGGTAAAGGGGGTCTATTTCTCTCAGTCTTGACCTGCGCAATGCATGATGACCTAATTGTGGGATTGAAACCACTCTTCTAATGACAATCGAGGGGGGCTCATGGATTGGACATGAAAACTGCGTGAGCACTCGTCTTCGGATCGTGACAATCAATGCCTCAGTGGACACTCGGATAGTGGCTCGTGTCCACCCACTGCGGTGATGAGAACAGACGAACTCTAACAATAGACCCTTTCCGAAATTCAGTCTGGCCACTTTGATCACTATCATCATCTGTGGAACGGCATCTGCGCCATACCAATGGCGGCCTTCTAGTGACTGATAAAGGAAGACGTTGAAGAAGCTCCTAAGAGGATGATGCGAGACCTGTACATTCGGGGGTCAGTACGACGCGGCGCAGGAATGGGACACAAGAGCTACGTAAGCGTTTGTTTCTAATAATTCAGATTCAGTCAATCTGTGGGCAGCACACAATCGGCTTTAAAGCACTTTGTCGTATAGAGTTTTCTTCAGGCATCTGAGTGGGTTGGAGTTTTGTTCTGAATGCAGGTTCTTGGTCACCATCGAATTGAAAGTGATCGAGAAAGAACTCACCCTGAACAATTCCTCGCGTGCCGTTGACTTACAAAAGTGACGGTGCCGATACAAGTTGATTTCCGCCATTGATATGGCAAAACCTTCACTGCTTTACGAACCACCAGATGGCACTGAATTTCGGAAAGGGTCTATTCCCCTAGCTCAGCACGCGTTTTCTACTTTGCCAACCCAAGCGCGTGACTATGATTAACATTGGAGGGGATAAGCATCGTTCATCCCCTCAACTATACAAGCGGCCACGCGGCACTAGGCCGCGTGGCCGCTTGTTCTGGCTCTGAGTTGAGGGGATGAACGATGCTCGTATGTCACCAAAGTTGTTCGGTTAATAACGTTAGGGAGTGATTCTAAGTAGTATTTAGCGAAAGTAGAAAAATCGTTTCATGGACGTCCCTTTAAAGGGGTGTTCAAACAGGACACTACAAAACGCACGACTCCGACAAATCGTGAAAATTTAAGCGGGCGCGAAGCGGGCGCGTCCGCTTCCATTTTTACGATTTGTCGGAGTCGTGCCTTTTGTAGTGTCCTGTTTGGACACCCCTTTAGGTGCAACCACGAGAATGTTTTTTTTTTAATCGCCCATACAAGCGCTGGCTTTGCACCATGTTTTACGTTCCCCCTTTTCCTTCTCCTCTGTCCCCAAACGTGTCAACTGCCCCGTTCTATAACCGAAGTTACAAACATCGCACTCCCTTTGCTGACACCGACGCACCGATCTTCTACGTGCCTCCGGTACTCCTTTTACCATCATTTGAAAAAGACCATTCATCCGTAAGATGTGTTACCTTTTGAAAAAAATTCAAAAGGCCGCGAGCGAAGTCTCGTCCTCCTCGCACCAGCGGCAGCGGTCACGTGACTCAGAAGCTCCGAAGAGAGCGATAGTTGGTTCTCCCTCTCACTAAGACTGTGCAGTACAGCCAAAGCTACAGGGGAGAGAGCGTACGCAAACATGTTCACGAGCATGATGTAGAAAACCCGAGACTGTGGTAAAAGCAGAGAAACTTGGTCTGAGAAGAAAGACAGGGGAAGAGAACGCTTCAAACTCAGCTACTGCGTTTATTTCCACAATGACTTACATACTGCAAAAAACACTTCGCGAGCCCCATATTTTCGAGAATTACAAAACTAGCGAAAAAACAAAGGCACGCGAATACCTCTCTTGTTTTGAGGCCAGAATTCAAGTCTTTAGAATTTGCGAGAGTTAGCTGCCACAAATAGGCTCCAGTAAAAGTTGATGATGATGATCCTCGGCGTCTTCTGTTGCTGCCGCCGAATCCAGGAGCCGTTAGATGGTGGACGTTTTCCAAGGTGTTTATTTGTCCGAATTATTACTGACTCTGTACCTCGTTTGCAACAAGTCAGGGACCCGGCATCATATTGCTGCGCGCCTCCAAGTCTGCGTGCCCGTCCAGCTCATACGCCAAAATCCCCCTTCTCTCGCCCGACACGGGCCTTTCCAGGAAAGGTCCCCCTCTCCCTCTGGCCAGAACCGACCAATAATTTTCATACAGAAGAAGACCACGTGGTATACACCTGTCCAATAAACCTCCGAAAGTAAATATAATACCCGGTCAGTTCTCCAACCGCCAAAACCTAATTCCTCGTCTAATCGGCCCGTGCATTGTTCGCCGCCTGGCTGGCGCCTGAGCGCCGACTGCCCGGATCGGGTGACACGCGCACTCCGAACACTCGAGCGGACGCGCCGGGAGCAAAAACAAATAATAAAAGAACACACACCCGCCGGCGAAGCAGCCGCAACATGCACACTATTTACCGCGGCCTAACACCTCCCCTCTTAAAACTGTTACAGGGCTTCTAGAACTGTACACAGTAAAATTCACAAAAGGGCCGCGTGAGTACAAAAGGAAACAAAACCTAGTCTTCTCTGCAGTCACCGGCGCTACGCAAAGAATAAAACGCAAACAGCGGCTTGAACAAAAGTGTTTTGACAATCATGCCTTGGAACGTTTCTAAAATGTGTAAACAAAACGCTCCTAGCAAGAAAACAAACGAACACATCACTTGTAGAACAGGTCCCAGCAGCTAGTTTCACCGCCATGCTTCCAGCTCTGAGGCGGATAAATCACCTCCTCGCTCTACGGGCAAGTGGGAACGTTCGCGCACACCTCAAGCGACGTGGCTCCAGGATTATCGCTAGTGCCCCAATTACAGTTCCGAAGTCGGGAGAGCGCATCGGCATTGCCGTGACACGCACCCTTCCGGTGAGTTACGGACACGTCATACCTCTGCAAGGCGAGCGCCCATCTCGCGAGCTTTGCGCCATGCGGCGTGCTACAGGTGAGGTAGCTTAGGGGATTATGGTCAGACACAACATGAATGCGGGCTCCAAACAACCAGTAGTCGAACTTTTTTAGCACCCATATTATGGCGAAAGCCTCGCGCTCTATGGTCGACCAGCGGGTCTGGGTCGGGGTGAAGCGATGGCTGGCGAAAGCTATTGGTTTCTCGGCCCCATCCTTCCCGACTTGAGCAAGGCATGCGCCGGCTGCCGTGGCGGACGCGTCGGTGAAGAGCCAGTATGGCTCGCGAGGTTCTGGTGTGCACAGTGCTACCGCGTTGCAGAGGGAATCTTTCAGTTTAATGAACGCGTCCTCTGCCTCCTGCGGCCACGGGATCGGGTCAGGCACTCCGCGCCTCGTTAGTGTAGTGAGCGGAATAGCTATAGCGGCGTAGTTATTGACATACTCGCGGTAGTATCCACAGAGTCCGAGGACACTTCTGAGTTCTTTCTTAGTTCGCGGCCTTTCCAAATCCTGGATTGCCGCCACTTTCTGGGTCAGGACCATGACACCCAGAACCGACCATGTGCCCCAGGAACCGGATTGAACCCTGTGCGATTTGGCACTTCTCGGCGCTTACTTTCAGGCCCGCTGCCTGCAACAAACTGAAAATGATGTCCACATGTCTCACGTGTTCGTCCCATGTGCGAGAAAATATGGCAATGTCGTCTAAGTACGCGGTGGCGTAGTCTCGGTGCGAGGACAGCAGCGTGTTTACCATTCATTGGAAGGTGGCGGCGGCGTTCTTGAGCCCAAACGGCATCACCCGCCACGCATATTGCCCCTCGTGCGTGACGAACGCCGTGAGGTGCTGGCTTTCGGGAGACATGGGCACCTGCCAATAACCGCGCCGGAGGTCCACTACCGTTATGAATTGGGCGTGCCCAACCTTGTAGAGGACCTCCTGTTCGTTCGTCATGGGGAACGCATCGGAACGGGTCGCAGCGTTCAGTTTGCGGTAGTCCACGCACAGGCGGACGGTCCCATCCTTTTTGGAGACGCAAACCACCGGATGCGCGAGGTCACTTTCTACGGGATAGATGAGCCCTAACTCTAAGAGTTCTCTAATCTGTCGACTTACCTCCCGCCTTAGTAGTTCCGGTACCCGGTAAGGATACGCTTTCTTAGGGTGGAAGCCTTCCTCCAGCTCAATCCGGTGTTCTCCCACGCTCGCTCTACCTGGTGTCCCGTCAAACAATGCTTCATGATTCGAGAACACTTTTGCAATCGCCTCCCTGGCGTTCTCGTCCAGATGGGCCAGCCTCTCGGAGGCGAGATTTGTGCCGCCAGAGGAGGCTGGTCCCTTTCGGGGTGCATAGTCCACCTCCACCGAAGTCTTTATCTTCGTGAAAAATGACACCGACGTGTCCAACCCTAGCGTAGTAAGGTCTGAGTCGGTTAGCATGCACTACCGTCGTCTTTTTTCCTTCCCTCTCGACTCGGTGAGAGTTCTGTCTTTCGTGCCCAATAACAGCTAATGGCCCTATCCACCTGGGCGCCATCTTACTCGCTCGGTCTGTGTCCAAAAGTAGTACCTGATCCCCTACTTTTAATGTCTTGGCGCGCGCAGTACGGTTGTACCTTTCAGCGTAGTTTTTCTGCTCCACACTAGCTGTTAGCCCGGCGGCCTCAGCGGCCACCTCCAGCTGTTCGCGCAGCTGTCATAACTACTTCGCAGGTTCTTCTCTCAACGTGTCGGGCACGCTTACGTCGCCTGCCCAAGTGCGCTGGAGTATCGCAAGCGGTCCGGTCGGGTTCCTGCCATAAAGCATTCGGAAGGGAGGGACCCCTGTCGTGTCGTGGGGCACTTCACGGTAGGCCTATAAGACGAACGGAACTAACTTGTCCCAGTTTCTGGAATCCCTCTCCATGACGTGAAACAGCATATTTTTCAGCATGCGGTTCCACCGTTCCACCGCTCCGTTGCTTTCTGGGTGTTCTGAAGTGAAAAATCGCGGAGCGCATCCTAACTTTTCAAGCATCAACTGTGTCAGCTCTGCTGTAACGTTCGTCCCTTGGTCTGAGCAGATGACCTCGGGCACGCCGCCGCGAGAAAAACTTTCGAGAAGGGCGTCACACGTGGCCCTCGCTGTCAGAGAGCGTAGGCAAACGACCTCCGGCCAGCGTGTACAAAGATCCACCACGCACAAAGCGTACTTGTGGCCCCTTCCCGTCGGAGCGTCCATGCGACCAATGACGTCGACATTGACGACCTGGAAAGGATGATCTGGTCTTGTCAATAGAGTAATGGGCACTCGCTCCTCCCGTCTTCTCTCAGAACGAATCTGACATCCATGACATGTCTTGCAGTGTTCTGCAACGTCACGCTCGACTCCAGGCCAGTAAAAGCTGTATTTAGTGCGAGCTTTTGTCTTTTTCGGTCCCAGACGGCCGCCCCACAGAGACTCGTGAGCCAGCTGCAGCACTTCCTCTCGTTTCGATCTTGGCAACACCAGCTGGTCCACTTTAGTTCCTGCGATCGAGTCTCTGTGATAGAGTAGTTCATTCGAGAGGAACATGCCCCCTTTTCCTTTCCGCGATTCCTCGTACGCTTTCTTTAGACTTTGGTCCCCCCGTTGCTCATCGCGAAACACAACTCGGTGAGCCGTCGCGTCTCCAACATCGGCCACCTCGTACGCGTCGTTCTTTTCCTCACGATCCGCAGCGCTGCAAGCGAAGGTCGTCACGCCTGCGGCCTTCCCCTTCTTAAGTAGTGGCGCCTTCGTTCCGTACGACTGGGACCCCCAGGGTGACAGATGCGGCGTCACCTCGCCCGAAGTGCCCGTCCTCTCCCAGAAGCTTCCAGTCTTCTTTTGTGAGTAGACAATCTACCTCCGGAGCGAGCTGGTCTGTTAGTGCACATACCACGTGCACCGAACTACCATCCGCGCCTGTGACATCTGATCGGAGTCTAATCGGTACGCGGGCAAGCTTCGCGACGATTGTCTGCCCGAACGCGGACACGAGCTTCACGGTTCCTGAAGGCTCTTTTCCGTCTGTGGGTAGCAGACTTTCCCTGACCACAGTGATTTCACAGCCTGTATCGAGAATTGCATCGGTCGGAACGTCCGCGCAGAGCGGCTTGACGCGTTGAAGTTTAGATGTTGGGAACTTGTCTACCTCTCCTGACAGTCTCGCGACCAAACCTCTCGGCTCATCGTTTTCCGCCCGTTCGTTCTCATCTCGCTGTAACCTTACATTGTGGGCAAAGGATTTCGGTTTTGTCTCTTGTTTTTTCGAACCCTCATATTTAGATCGGCGCGGGCAGTCTTTAGCAAGATCGTTTGGCTCGTGGCAGAGAAAACACCGGGGCGCGTGTCCAGTCTTACCATTATGAGTCTGGTTTGGTGCGAGTTCGCCGTCTTCACGCCTTGACTTCCCGCCCTTGGCATCGCGTTTCGTGCCCTTCGCCTGATCGTATGTTTGCAAAACTTTCGCGATCTCGTGCGCTCTCAGCCATGTCTCGCCCTCGCGCAGCAGAACGTACTCTATATTTCGTCTCACCTTAGCATGGATTATTGTTATCCGCGCATGCTAAGAGCGCGAACTAGTTGCTTTGAATGAAGCCTCGGCGGCTGCACGAGCACTCGCGCAGCGAGTGCTCCAGTCAAGGCAATCGAGGCTAGCCGCTCGCGCTTGCACAGCCTTCGCCGTTAGTCCATGCTAAGGTGAGACGAAGTATAGTCTCTCCGCGCTGAGACTTGCCTTCAGCCGGTCAGCGACCAGCAACTCAAGCATCGTTTCTTTACTTTCCGCCTCCCTCGCGCGTAAGTAGTAACTCAAGTACGTCCTTACCCGCGACGCGAACTGCGTCCAGTTCTCGTCCCTGCGCTTAGAAGTGCTGTCAAACCGCTCGCAGTACTCTGGTGGTGCTAGCTGGAGCTCGTCAAGCACGGCTCTTTTTACCTGTTCGTAGTCCGCGCAGTCTTCGAGCCCCAAATTCCGGAGGAGATATCTGACCCTCTCCGTGAGCGCAGGCCTTATTAAGTGCACGCGGGCCTCGTCCTGCACCCGGTATGTCAAGAACATTTTTTCGACCTCGTCGAACCAGATGGGGACGTCCGCGTCGCACGGCAGCCTATGACCCTTCAGTACTTTAGCACATTGTACCATAGGGTCTACGGGGCCCTGGCTACCGACCCTCGACCCAGTGCTCGACCGAATAGAGCCCTCGCTTTCGAGCTGAATTCTACGTAAAGCAGTTCGCTTCTCGGACTCCACCTGCAGCCTTCTAAGCTCAAATTCGAGCTCGAGCCGGCGCATTGTGATCGCCTCTGGCTCCTCCACATTACCGGCTGGCGTGTCATTACCATTTTCCCGTTGGACGTCAGGTGTGCCCTGCCCATTTTCCCTCTGGGCGTCAGATGTGCCCTGACCATTTTCCCCTTGGGCGTCAACAATATCCGAAGTCGCCAACCTGCCCCTGGTGCGCCCCATTAATCTAACCAACTCCCGTGGAACCACGTCAACCTAAGCAGTACGCAAGAAATCCCACTCACCCGGAGCCGACGGCGTGTCCTTCCGGCGAGAGTCCCTGAGAGCTTGCTTGGCCGTAGTCGCAGGTATGACGACAGCAGGCGAAAAACGGCACCCCTTGCGGTTCTGGTGCCCCGCCCTCGACTGTCCCTGCAGGCCGACCGCTTGTTGGCGTTGACAGCAGAAGAGCAGCTCCCCTTGTGATTCTGGAGCTTCGACTGCTACGGTTCCTGGTTCCCCCGGAGCGGACGGTGCGTTCCTCCGGCGAGTCCTTCAGAGCTTGGGGCCTGCCGCAGGTATAACGACAGCAGGCGAAGAACGGCACCCCTTGCGGTTCTGGTGCCTCGCCTTCAGCTGTCCCTGCAGGCCGACGGCTTGCTGTTGTGACGCCTGAAGACCATCCTGTCGGCTGCGCCAGTAAAAGTTGATGATGATGATCCTCGGCGTCTTCTGTTGCTGCCGCCGAATCCAGGAGCCGTTAGATGGTGGACGTTTTCCAAGGTGTTTATTTGTCCGAATTATTACTGACTCTGTACCTTGTTTACAACAAGTCAGGGACCCGGCATCATATTGCTGCGCGCCTCCAAGTCTGCGTGCGCGTCCAGCTCATACGCCAAAATCCCCCTTCTCTCGCCCGACACGGGCCTTTGTAGGAAAGGTCCCCCTCTCCCTCTGGCAAGAACCGACCAATAATTTTAAAACAGAAGAAGATCACGTGGTATACACCTGTCCAAAAAACCTCCGAAAGTAAATATAATACCCGGTCAGTTCTCCAACCGCCAAAACCGAATATCTCGTCTAATCGGCCCGTGCATTGTTCGCCGCCTGGCTGGCGCCTGAGCGCCGACTGCCCAGATCGCGTAACACGCGCGCTCCGAACACTCGAGCCAACGCGCCGGGAGCAAAAACAAATAATAAAAGAACACACACCCGCCGGCGAAGCAGCCGCAACATGCACACTATTTACCGCGGCCTTACAGGCTCCTATGCCTAATTTGAAAATAATTGGGATCTGAAGATCTAAAAAATAATGGGTTTAGCGTTTAAAACGATCGGGGAACGAATCGTGCGATTCTCTCAAAGACGTATTCGGCCGTTGGAGTTACAAGCAATAGTTATTCGGCAGGCCGAGTGCACTTAAGTTCATCAGTTGTGGCACCGTTCATGAGTCTCAGATCCACAGTGTGGGAATCTTTCCTGAGAGCCGACGACAGCAGTAGGTAACTCCACACGTGTACGCTCGTCGACGTGGTCTTTTGGGCCATAACACTGCACTCAATAATTTTCCCGGCATTCACAAGTTGTTCGCTTTCGACAAAGCACCGCTTTCCGTTGGCAATGTACTCCATAATAGTATGCAACGGCATAGAAAGTAAAACAAATAGCCGCATCACAATATTAACCACAGTAGCAATATTACATGAGCATTCGGCTTGGCATTCCTTGCCTTCGCATGTTTCCACTCTCGTAGAGCGATACAATCTTTTTGAAGAAAGAAGCAGTCACAAAGTAAATATCGCCGTTTACCCAAAAACAAGCCTTCATCGTCGCGAGGATCCATGTTTCAGCGTGCGCCGAGAGCAGACGACGTGCGGCAGTATCCCCACTAGCAGTGTTTCCAACGTCGGCCGCACGCGGTGGCGACTCCCCACCTCCCTAAACGTCCTCCCCCCTAAAAATTTAGACACCCCCCTAATTGCAATTCCTGGGGAAACCCCCCTGACCGGCACATAGGCAGTAGGGTCAGTCAGTATGGTGATGGTTGTGCGCGTACACCACGTGCACGCGCACGTGCTACCGCACGTGCGGACTGCAGCGACTTTCTGCTGTCCTGTCGACTGCAGGGCCTCGATTGTTCTCTTCACGCGCAGCCTCACAAGTTCATCCCGTTGCCGAGCCGCGGCGGCCCAAACACCACGCCGTTTTCTAGTACACTGTAGGACAATGGCAAATAGCATCATATACTTCTTAGATTTAGGCACTAAAAGACATCATCTGACTGGCCCAGGCCGGAGTTACTAAAAGTCCCTGTGGTTGGTGTCGTGTACCGTGTGCGAACCTCCAAGAACGTTAGAGACGAGATCGAGACGAACATTTGTTTCCCGCTCTTTTAATATGGCGTCTCCTCCCGACCCAGAGTTGCCAGACCTCTTTCCATCTCTGGACACGACACCTTCCCTTCTAAGACCTATTGTCTATATCGTGCCAGTGCTCTAGAGATCCTTCCGCTTCTGGTCACCAGGCCGTTATTTCTGCCAGATGAAGCTGGTGGTCCCTTGTCTGCGACCAAGCTGGGTGTGGTGTTTTCTCTCGCAGTCTGCAGATGTCTGGTAGTGCGACGTAATGCACCATGTTCAGTCTGCACCAGGTATGACCGTGGTTCGTGGGTCTGCTGCAGCACCACTCCTTTGTGTGCGGCGCCCGCGTACATCCAGACTGCCGATCTAGGTGCCAGTTCAGCTCTGTCTCTTGCTCTGTGACGCTTGTTGTAGTGGCTTGCCTCTTTGGCTTTCACTACGTTGTGACGCTGCCTGTAGCGAGCAGTGTACTTCCAGTTGGGCGTCAGAAGCTGCGGTGACACAGGAACTGTAGGCTTCAGTCGTCGTCCCATCAACAGTTCTGCTGGTGAATAGCCCTCCTTCCCTGGCGTAGTCCTGTGAGCCAGAAGAGCCTGTGCAGGGTCCTCGGACTTCTTAAGCAGGTTCTTCGCGGTTCGGACGGCTTTTTCTGACTCGCCATTGCTTTGGGGATAGTAGGGACTCGACGTTACGTGTCGCGCTCCCCACCTGTGTGTAAAGCACTTGAATTCGCTTGATGCAAACTGGGGTCCACCGTCGGAACGAATGACCTCCGGGATTCCAAATCGTGCGAATATTTCACTCAGTGCTTCGATGACGTCCTTTGACGGCGGAGCTGCTTAAGCTCAAAGAACTTGGAAAGTAGTCGATGACTACCAAGTAGTTCTTCCCATCCAACAGAAACAGATCCATAGCGATCTCCTGCCATGGACGTTCGGGCAGAGGTGTCTGAATTATAGGCCCCG